TATAAATTAGTAGCCCTTTATTCTTGCTGGAAGCAGCATTGATCCATAGCGCCAATTCGCACTTTTATTTTAACGAATTTTTAAGTTCTGTTACAAGGTTTATTGGAATTACTCCTCCCACAATAACATTTTTAAACAATTTTATTATTTGTTATTGTGAAGAATTTATTTATAATTTAATAAAGTAGTGATTTCAATTCGTGGGTTTATTCTCGAAAGAGTGGTCCTTCGACGTTGGGTTTTCTTTGGGAATCGAAGCAGTCCATTGTTAGTCCATTGGATAAATTATTACCACGAGCTAACAGTTATTACTATCGCTTTTTTGATGTTTGTCGAAATTATATTCTCTCGCTGGAGCGATTATAAATAACATTCATGTTGGTATGTATACAGGTTGTTAACTCGACAGTTACTTACAGGGGAACAGAATGGCAACACTGCCTATTGAGAACGCATGCATTATTGATTTTTCTGCCGACTCGTCCCGTCGCGTCGTCTATCGACGAGCAGGCCGAGGTTGCCATATTTCAACCATAAAGCTCTTGCCGCGAGTAATGAACAAATTAACAACCTGTATACTCGTACATAAAGGGTCATATGTCATATTACAGTCTATATTCATTAGACAGCCAGTCGACTTACGTTTCCATTACTTGAAACTTCTCGTACCTACCTAGAATTCGCCTATAAATTCTGAGCTATATAATGTACTTACTTTGCTATGCATATCGTAATCTTAGACCATACAGGGTGTTCAAAATTCTATGCCAAACTTTCTAAAATACAAAATAGTTTTTCTTCGGTTTTTTATATGGAACCACTAAAAATTCTAAAATGCTTTAAATACAAAAATCTTCATTTTTTAAAAGAATATTAACAGGGTGCTTCGTTAAAAAAACAAAGAAAAAATATTTTATATTTTAGAAAGTTTGGCATAGAATTTTGAACACTTTGTATGGTTTAAGATTACGATATTTATAAAAAAATAAGTATAGTCCAACTATAGTAAATACCTATTATACTTTTGACTTCAGGACATTTCTTGTATTTTTAATATTTTGTTTAAAAAAAGGCTAAAAAATATTGTTTTATTTGTTTATTAATATTTTTGACGCAAATCAAAACATATTTAATAAATCTTAGGACTACACGTAAAGTGATCACAAAAGAAGCCCAAAATGCAATAATATAAGGGAGGCATTGTTACAGTTAGAAAAAATTATCCCGATCCACAGATCCACAAGATTACCCTTTTTTGAGCCATCCTGTAGAAGTTAAAATATTTTCCTGAAATATATCCTAGTACATACTTTAGGTTTGCAATTTGCACTTATCAAGTTTTTTATTATAGGAGCTAGATGCCCAACGCATTGTTGCCGGGCCCATATAAAGTAGTAGGAAAAACTTTGAACCGTGGCAACCCCTATTTGCGGCAATTTTTTCATTGGTTAAAATGGTCCTCCCTGTTAAAAGTGTATTCCCCTATTCAAAAATATAAGTAAAAATTAGGTTTTGATTAAAAATATAGGGCGTAATAATCCTGCAGCTGGATCTTAGACTATAACACATATTTTAGGTTGGTACTTAACACAAAATTCCTAAGTTTTTTATTATATGAGCTAAATATGCCCGAGCATTATTGCCGGACCCGTACAAAGTCGTTCCTACTACTATTTGAAACGTGGCAACCCCTATTTGCGGCAAATTTTTCACAGGCAGCCTTATAAAATTATCTTTAAAAAAGCCATTATATAAAAAAGGTGACGTAGAGTCATTGACAAATTATAGACCCATCAGCCCATCAGTTTGCTTCCGGGTTTCTCTAAAATATTTGAGTTGGCTATGTGTTCTAGGGCTAAAGACTTTATGTATTCTTGCGGACTATTCAATAGATTTCAACATGGGTAGATCAAAGGGAGATCCACACAAACAGCTATCTTTCAGTTTACAGGTAGGATACTGGACTTATTAGAAGACAACAAAAGAGCTTTAGGTATGTTCTTGGATTTATCCAAGGCATATGACTCATTAAATATAGATTTTCTTCTAACCAAATTAGAAAGATATGGGATTAGGGGAAATGCCTTGCAACTATTTAAGTCGTACCTTAGTAATCGCAGGCAAAGAGTAATAATCCAAAAAGGAATCAATTCTACTAAGTCTAGTATTTTGGAAAATAACTTAGGTGTTCCTCAAGGTAGTATAGTCGGACCTTTTCTTTTTATTGTATATATCAATGATCTAAGTAACATTCTGCCTAATGTAGACAGAAATATTATAAATTATGCAGATGACACTAACATGCTGATAGGATGGGAAGACAATACAGATATTTTGAGTAAGGGTATAAAGCTTGAGGGTATATAAGGTTTGAGGCAGCAAATAAATAATTTTTGGAAAATAAACTTTTATTAAACAAAGAAAAAACCAATGTAGTAGTTGTTAGTACAAAACAGAATAGAGCAGAAAAAGTCACTAATATAAATCTAGATAAACTGGATCTTTCAATTGCAACAAATACGCAGTTCTTAGGAATTTGTATTGACGAGTTCTTGGATTGGACTGACCATATTAACAAGTTATCATTGAAATTGAACAAAATTGCCTATGCGATTAGAGTCATAAGTCAGTACATGAACAGAAATACATTAAAGATAATATATTTTGCGAACTTTGAATCTGTAATTAGATATGGAATTATTTTCTGGGGTGGGTGTTCTGTTACTGAAAATTTAGAAAAGATCTTTATTTGTCAAAAGAGAGTAATAAGGTTAATTTATAACATGGCTTCTAAAGATTCTTGTAGGAAATGTGTTTAAAATTAATAGTCTATTAACAGTGTATGGTCTGTACATATACGAGTGCATCCTTTTTTTATTTAACAATAAGTCAATTTTTAAAAAACATTCACAGAATCATATCTATAATACAAGGACACTCAATTTTGATTTTCCAGTCCACAGACTTACACTAACAGAAAAAGGTGCATATTACATGTGCATAAAATGTTTTAACAAATTACCGAGGGAAATTAAATGCATTCAAATCAACAGAGTATTTAAGAAAAAAGTTAGAAAATTGTTAATTAAGTTAGAACCATATTCATTAAGTGATTATTTGAATTAAAATAATATAGGGTTACATTGTTGTATTTGACGTCATTTCATTTTGTGTTCATTTATATTATATTTGTATATTTGAAACATACTCTGAAATAAAGTATATATTATTATTATTATTATTATTATAACATCATGCACAGAATAAAAATAGCTTTAATTTGATATATGAATGATTAATGTATAATACGTTATGAACGTAATGTCGCCTCCAAAATCAATTAATATTATTATAATTAAACATATTGGCGGCAACTTTTTGATTAGCACCCTGTTAAAAGTATTATTGGTGGTATATTCCCCTATTCATAAATACATATACGTAAAATAAACGAAAAAGAAACTAAAAATGAAAAAACCTCGCTGGTAGCCGAGTGGCATCCGTATACGGGATTACTGTGATTATAACGAGGATTATACCATTAGATTATACATTCTTAAGCCCCGTTCCCAGAACTTCGTACTATCGCCAACGGCAAAGTACAAATGATATTTGTACAAAATTTAAACAGCTGTCAATTTTAAATTTAGTTCAGCTCTCATTGGACACGTTCAGGGATGGTCGGCGGCTGAGTAGCTGAGAAAGCGACTTCCCTGAACGGTCTTTTCTGACACACAGCAACCGTCAGCCGTTGAACAGAATTCTCAGTAAATATTTAAGCTGGGCAAAGTCAGTGGTGTTTATATCCACTTTTCTATATCTATATGCTTATCTGTAGTCAACTGTATGTAAAATAGTTTATAATTTTTCATTAGAAATATAATCAGCCATTGTAATATTTTTTTTAAATAATATTTAACATCTGTGGAAATTGCTGTTTCTTTTTGCCGTCTAGGGAATATAATGAGAAGCAAACTCAGCGAGAATATTCGCTGGCAGTTAGCGGCTGTGTTTCCTGAACGCGTCCATTGGTTGTTTAAAGTGTCAACCAGTGTCGCCAGCGACACAACAGAGTTCTGAGAACGGGGCTTTAGTCTAAGAGCTCTTTCAGACGAGGATACTGTATACGGGATGAAGAATTACAGTCGAATACTTTCGAGATACTCTTTTGGCATACTTTCTTTTAGATACAAAATAATCTAGTTTAAAACAAATTTCAGTGCGGTGCAGTCGTATTATTGTATTATAAAATGAATATTGAAGAGTGCGTTCTGCTGTGGCATATATATAATAATACAAAGCTTATAAATTTTTCGTTATCGAAAGCGGCACGATCCATGGTTCTCTTATTTATTGTTCGAACTCACTCTCACTACTGAATTATTATTTTACTATAATACACCTACAATAAATATTCTGTTCGCCTGTGAAATCGAACTTTTTGTATCGCAAAAGTATGCAAGTCTGAAGAGGCCCATAAGCTATGATAATTCTGTATCCCGGATACTTCTTCGTCGCCGGGCGGCTGAAAATTCCACATTCAAAAATTCGGCCGCGCGATACTGTATGCGTCGCCGAATGCCATGTGTAAGGCACAGGTGTAAGGTACAATTTAACTACGCGTCTGGGATACAGCGTCCTCGTCTGAAAGAGGTCTAAGGATTATCCTCTTTGACGTCACGACCAATAGCAGCACGTTTACAACTGCTTGAAATAACTAGACTTACTTTACTTTTTCGTATCCGGACTATAGTTTGTTAGCCCAGTAATGGGTTACGTCCAATGCATCCCGTTTAGCCAGCCACAGGTCGTCGAGGGTACATCTGTGGGGGCAGGCAGGGCATTGAAGATGTTCCATGTCGTGAAAGGCGCCGCAGTTCTGCATGTTTCATTCAAACTAATATTCCCCTTTTTCGCATGGGCAGATCTACATCTACACCACACTGAGCAGACATATTCAGCAGTTGAGAAACATAGAGCTTGAGCAGAAGTTCTGAGCACGAAAGGTTTGGCTCTCCATTTGGTATTGGTCAGCTTACTTATTATTAGGGAATTTCGTGCTTCTACTTTTTTGCGTGTTTTTTCGCAGTGATATTTTAGTTTAATGTTCTGTCCAGCACGACCTCAAAATAGGTAGGCATATCTGTGTCTTCTAGTGGTGTCCCGTCTCATGTGACATTAAGTATGCGGCTCGCCTGTCTCGAATTTAGGCGGAATGCACTCACTTTAGTTTTGGTGGGGTTGGGTTTTAAATAATTCTTTTTGTAATAAATTGACATTGTTTTTAGGGCGGTTTCTAGTTTCTCCTTGATATCTTCGAACCCTTTGCGTTTAACTGTTATTACTAGGGCATCTCGATATGCAAAGGTTCTAACCTGGAATTGGTTGGTCATTTGTGTATATGTTGAAAAGATTTGGCACCAGCTCATTCTTCTGGTTTTTCCATCGACTCTTTTTGGCCTCGAGCATCACGAAAAACTGTTTTGGAGCAAGGATTCAAGTATTTTGACTAGGTGGTAATATTTCAAGGTCTCGTTGGCTTTATGCAGTAATACCTTGTGGTTTACCGTGTTACAGGCAGAACTTAGGTCGACTAGGGCCAGCCCTGTGATGTGTTTATTCTCAAACCCCTCCTCGATATGTTCTGTCAATGCGAGGATTTGCATTGACAGAAGCAAGACTTTCCAGGTCTGAAGCTGCTTGGTGTTGAATGAGGTTTAAGTCGACGATCTTCGTTATTCTGTAAAGGATTAGTCTTTCATAGAATTCAAAAAGATGGCAAAGGAGGGATATGGGTCGGTAACTTTTTGGAGACTCTGGATCTTTTCCGGGTTTAAGGAGACTATTTTTGACTTCCGCTACAGTTTTGGAATTTGAATAAACCAATGCGAAATAACTAGAATTTAGCGGATCATTTTTAATTCCTTATTGTGGTTAAGTTAGGTTTACGTATGTACAGGTTGGGCCAAATTGAACGCTTTTAAACTCCCCTTTCTAAAGAAGATAGACAAAAACTAATGTCGGTGTCTGGAGCTCAATTTTCATCAAAAACATAATGGGAAAACCCGCATGTCGATAACACTTACGGTTTTAGAGTTACAGGGTGTCTTTCGAACATGCGCATTTTTAAAAACCCGGCGCGGCGCGTAACTTTTTAAGTATGAATAATTTTGTGTTTCTGTGAAAATATTTCTAAAGCACATTTTACGTAGAATTTAATAGTTTAAGTATATATTTTTTTAAATTAATAATTTAAGCATTATCAACAGAAATTGATTTTTTATACCGGGTGCGTCTCAAAAGTGGCTCACCCCTACTACCTTTTTTTTCAGTTAAAATAAAAAACGAAATTTGGTATGTTAGTATATGACATAAATTAGGATTGATTGACGTATTCAACTGTTTTCGGTCACTTCCTGTTTCACCGGAAATGACGACAACTTTTGATTTTTAAATGACACCCTCGGTATTTTTTTACGTTATTCGATAGAAAATAACACTCTGAATAGAATGACATATCATATGTCAACTTTTGTTATTTTCGCATATGGTTTATTTCAAATTATAACTTGGGGTTCGTAACTCGAAAATGTGACTCGAAATACCAAGTGTGTGGTATCAAATTATTAGTAAAAAATGCTTTTTCCAAATATGCTAATAACCCTCGTTCCATTTGAAAAAACTGAGATATGATTAAAAATACGATTCGAGCATTTTCTAACTGGCCAGGACAAGACACTAATAACATTAGACGATCAAATCTATTTTTCCAAGGATCCTTGATTAAGAATTAGTGCTTTTAACATTGCCATGGCACTCTAGATTGAATTTTAAAATTTACCATTTTTTATTAAGCGAGAATGTCAAAAGGTGACATATGATATATGTCATTATATTCACAATGGACGGATTCAGTAAACACACCGGTATCAACCGGTAAAGACCTACCGATAACTTTTTATTAAACGATCGAGACAACAAAAATGTGACAGGTGACAATTATGACAAACTACGCCGACCGGTATGTACATAAACCGGAAACAAAATACGGTATTTAACTCCCCTCAAGTGCTCTCAAGTGATCGGTGACCACAACCGGTGAATTACCATTGGCATTCACTTTAATTTTCTACACCGGTGGACTAACCGGTGTGCGTACTGAATGCGCCCATTGTCATTTTCTATCGAATAAAGTAAAAAATACCGAGGATGCTAGTTAAAAATCAAAAGTTGTAGGTCATTTCCGGTGAAACAGGAAGTGGCCAAAAACAATTGAATACGTCAATCAATCCTAATTTATGTCATATACTAACATACCAAATCTCGTTTTTTTATCTGAAAAAAATAAAAAAGTTATAGGGGTGAGCCACTTTTGATAAATTATTAATTTTAAAAAAATTATACTTAAACCATTAAAGTCTCCGTAAAAAGATGGTTTAGAAATGATTTCATAAAAATACAAAAATTTTTATAACAAAAAGGTTTGGAATAAATAAAATAATTATATAAAATTAATAATAAAATTATTGAAAAGTTATTATCCAAAAGAGCGATTTGTTAAAAATTCACTTTTTTGAAAAATACCTTGTAACTACGAAACGGTAACATATATCGATGTGCAGTTTTTACCGTCATGTTCATAAAAATTGAGCCTAGATACTGATATTAGTTTTCGTCTATCTGCTTTAGAAAATGGTGTTTCCCTTTAAGTGTCCAATTTGGCCTATCCTGTATGTTTTCATACAATTTACAGTGTGTCCTACTTTTCATAAATCAACCCTAATACGTCCGCCATTAATAAATAAAACGATTTTCTTAATACTTACTTGGGAGGTAATTATATATTGTAAAAATGACAATAGCGTGATTTTATTTCTAATATATTTTGATTCAGCATTTCCAAAAACCGACTAAAGCTTCATTTTCATGCATCCGTTGTCCGACGATACGATATTAATTTTATTGGTTGAATTGAAAGACTTTGATTGGTTAGAAACGGTTAACCAATCGAAGTCTTTAAAATCAACCAATAAAATTAATATCGTACCATCGTATCGTCGGATAACGGATGCATGAAAATCAAGCTTAATCCATACTAATTTACTATTATTTGTAGTAAAGGCAATTCCATAAGAAAATCATTTAGAAACAATAGGTACTTTTTTCCTTGGATTTAGGGGATTTTGGTGATGTTGAATATAAATATGAAAAAATTCTCCAATACATAGGTACTTAATATCCTTTTGCCGGAAAACTGACCCCTGTTACCCACCTGATGCGGCGCGCCAAAGATAGTTAAGGATTTACAATTACCAACCAAATTTAAACAAAAAAACTTTAATGACCGATATATCAGATGGGTTCATGAAAAGCGGGACACATTGTAGTTATAATAGAAAATAATTTTTCATGTATTTTTTTTGTCAAGTTCTCTATTACATTGACCTTGTTCCCAGAAGTAAGTCAAACTTATTCTTTACTTATTTTTTGTAAAAACCCAGGATGTGTATGCTGATGTCTACTAAAATGCTGTCTAGTTACAGTTACACATGCAGTTCCAAAAGAATCCTGTGCTATTCTTGGTTTGCTGCGTTTTTTTATATTTTACATCTAATGCAATATGCTAGGAAAAAAAAAATGGCGTCAGCGATGACTATGTAATGAAGATCGCTGTCATTTTATATGTAAAATTATACGGGGAATGTCATCGCTAGTCATTTCCAAGCCAACTAGACGCCGAGATGATAAAGTCCTATAATCAAGCATGATTTGTTTAACTACAGAACATTCTTATAGGAAAACAGACTACATTAATTAGACTCTTGTTAAAAAGTTATATCGCTTTGGTTACAAAACTTTTTATCATGGTATTATATCTATTATATCATAAATAATGCTCATACTTTTGTAGTATGTTCATTTCTTAAAAAATCTATGGAGTAATTTTAATTTTATAGTTATTAATATGTAGTGGAAATTTATTAAAGAATTAAAGACAACAAATAAATGTTTTGCAAACATGTCAAAATAGCAGAAATTTTGAATTTTATGTTCCAGTTCAGTGTATATTTATTTTTGTTAGAATTATTAAAAATAGTATGCTGTAGTGAAATATAAATGTATACCTACTTAAAATAACAATATGAACTAAAAATATGAAATAAGTAAACAAAAATATGAATAAATTATTACAATCTAGCATCATATTTTAGAGCTTATCAGTGGTGGTACTTATTTACATAATTTTTGTGAAAGACTATTTTTAAATATTAATTAAACCCAGGACAAAACACCATATTGTCACTACTATATTTGCTTTGAAATGATATCACGTATTTAAATCTATGTCTGTTACACTCACACACACTTAACTAGAAAATATAAAATTTGACTCACCAAGTAAAATTCTTATAGGAAACACTTCACCCTCAAGGAACTACAGAAAAACACTATTTTTTTAAATACTTATGTATTTAACACAACACTACAATTTTTCCAATTATTCATATTTTATGAAAAGTAAAATATGAACATCAAATTAATGAATTACAATAGACACCAAACTTAGCACTAGATCACAAAATTTATTTTTGTTCATACATAAGTTTTTGTTAACTACACCAGTACACAAACAAGTACACTGCAGTATTCTTTTTGTTAGTCAATAAACAGTTCTTTCACATATTTTCTGTAATATTCTTACGAAAGTTCCATGATAACCGTTTGCTGAACAATAAAAAACAAATGAGAAAGAACTGTAAGTCACTCTTAATCAATTTCACTGCACCAATTTTACATTTCTGACTCTTCAAAATTTCTTTAATAAAACACTATATGTATAACACAAAATCAATGGGTTACAAAATTTACCGTTGATCTCCGACTTCCTGAAATAAAGATAATATGTAGATATTTAAAAAAAAAGTTTAAGAGTGACCCAGATATATGAATATAAAAAAAGCAAAATGGAAGTGGAAGTTGAGGTGTTCAAGTTATATGTGTGGCATAAATTTAGGTATGTCATATTTTGATTAGTCTAGACTTCTAAAAAAATCTTATCTTATTAATTCCACATGTTAATAAACATATGGTATTTGAACAAAATTATTGTCATAAAATATGTATGCGTAATTTACTAACAGGCAAAGTAATGTGAGAATATATGAGTAAAGTCAATTTTTTCAATGTATAAACAATTACATAATCACATGTAAAAAATAAAAAGATATATAAATTCATTGAAACAAAAAATAAAATAAGACCTAATAATCAGTAAACTTTTAAGCCCATAAATATATGACTATACCTTAATTAACACTAAAATTAAAAAATAGTATAATAAAAGTGCAAATAATAAATATACTTATGCAGCTCCACCACGTACCACTACTATAATAAGATGATCCTCTTTTATCGCCTCATCAGACAAATTTGGACAGGACCTTTTCAAAAGTTCTGTTGAAAATGGACATGGTGGGAAGGAGTATAAAACTCCAGTAGCTTCAGTTTCTTTATTTAGTAAAGAAATAACACCTGCTGCTTCTTTCTGCTTTAGATATGACACCAAGTTGCGCAAAGGCCTGGTCTGTACAGAGCTATCCTCATTTGTTACTGAAGCAGTAGAACCAGCAAGTCCTAGAAAGATAGCATGGGAACTAGCACCCTGAATACGCTTTTGCACATCTTCTAACTTTGGTTGATCTAATCTAAGCCTTTGTGTGATTCTAAGCTGGTGTTTTCCCTCTTCATCTTTCATCAAACTTTCTATGATATCAGTATCACCATCCATAAGGTGAAACTTAGCTGGAAACAGGGAGTTCTTCAAAATTAATGCACCTTGCCATATGGTAGTACATTTTCTTGCCACCTCTGGCAAAGTACGACTTGATGCAAGAAGTCCAGCCCTTCTTGATCCACTATCATCTGAATCAGGGGATCTTCTAGGAGACCGAGAACGAGACCTAGCCAAGCGAGAACCAGAGCGTCTACCATATTCTCCATCTCTAGTTCTGCCCCATTCATCAACTTCACCTTCGGGATAACGATAAGGACCTCTACTTCCTGCCCTCCTTTCTGGATAGGGCAGTGGCCTATCCCTGTATCCTCCATATGCTCTATCATAATCATACTCAGCACCATATTCTAGCCGGCGATAATCTTCACTACCCATATCATGCGGATATGGTGGTCTTGGCTTATAAGGTACTCCAGGAGTAACATCGGCAAAATCTGTTCTCAATCTTCTATCAGGACCACCAAGTGGAAATCCTCTCATTTCTTTAACAGCAGCTTGAGCAGCATCTATGCTATCATAAAGTATATAAGCCTGATTATCACCTTTAACATACTCGATTTTTTTGATTGCCCCAAATCTATCAAATTCTCTTTCAAGTTGAGGTATAGACGTCCAAACGCCTAAACCACCCACCCAAATTCTTGTTGTTGGAGTGGCTTTACCATAACCAATTTTACACTGAAATTTACCTATATACTGGCCAGAAAGTTCAACTTTAGCTCGATGTGCCATATCTAAGGTATTAAAACGTACAAATGCAAAAGCATTTCCAGTACCAGGTGGTGGTCTTTTAATATCAATATCTTCTACTAGACCATACCTACCAAAAATTCTTCGCAGCTCTTCTTCTGTAATATTTATCTCCAAATTACCAGCAAACAATGTACGAGTAGCAAGAGGATCATCTTCAGGCTGCACATGATGAAGATAATTTGGAAATTTGTCCTTTTTGTTTTCATTTTTTTCAAAAGGAGTTCGAGACGCGTTATGTCTTTGAGAACCATAGCTATGACCTGGGGTCATATGAGGAGGTCCATGATGCATAGGAGCTCTTCCCATATAATCATGAGGAACAGGCATTACATCACGTCTGTATTCGCGATGCATACCTGCACCTGCTGGTCCATAAGCTCTGTCATATCTGTCAATTGGAATTCTTCTATCAGGTGACCTTGCATAGTGGTATCTATCATATTCAGGAGTAATTGAACGAGGTCTGCCTCTATACAAATCATTACGCGGAACCTCATATACTGCCTCAACTAAAGCTACCTTGTCATAAATAATTATACGAGGTTTTGCATGCTTGGCATCTCTAGCATCTTCTGGATTACGAAAACATACATATGCTACCCTTTCATCTACATCATGAGTTATTCTTATAGTAAGATCACCATATTTCTTATATTCTCTATATAAAGTATCTTTAATTACCTCATCACTTGCTTTAGGATGCAAAGCACTTACACACAAAACTTTGTATGGGTAAGACCTTTCGGTTTGGCGCATATATTCATCCCGATGTGGAGATAAATAACGGCGAGGGCTTGGAGATCGGCCGCGACTACCACGACGTCGAACTCGATCTGGAGTAACACGTTCGTCAGAACTATCATCGTAGCGGCCCATACTTGAACGAGATCTTTTGCTTCTTGGGGGGGTGTCTCTATCACTACTTCGTTTCATGTTAGTATTAGGTATTCTTACTGTAATACGGTCCTTCCCTTTGATCATACGCACTCAACACATCAATTAACAGACACAATGGATGACGCGGCACTCCTTTCCTAAAAACACAATGCAAAACACCAATATGTATAACATAAGGCACTATAAGAACTAGTAAACTAAACAATAATAAAAACAACATACTTTACAAAACTGTACAGCACTTTAACAACTAAATTTGGGCAAATACTGCATTAAAATCAGACTGCACAACGCCAACACCTTAGTCAATTTAATCAGAAGCAAAAACAAAATGGCTGAGAAAGGAAAAGGATGCCGAAAATCGATAACCGCTTGTGCGTCGCTTGACGCTTGACATATGACATTGCGTAGGGTGACCAGGGTTCGGAAAACTACATGTTACTTTTAAAAACTACATAAACTACATTACATGTAGTTAATGTAGTTTATGTAGAGGGTGTAGTTTATGTAACCTATGTATGTAACTTTCAAATATCAAAGGTTTGAGGTGAGGTTATAATAAGTTGAAGCTTTAAAAACACATAATGTATTTAAGAAAACAGGAGAAATATGGCTTTAAATATAATATTTACATCATATTATCTCTATTACACCTCATACAAAAAAAATTGTTCATAATATCAATACATAGTTTGTTCACGTAGTTTTCATGTAGTTAATAGAGAACAACGGCATACGGTCGAGTCGGCCTACAAACACGTAAACGTTTACGTACGCATGCGCATTTCTTATATTTTCTATTTTTTATACACGTAAAAGATTCTTTACGTCTACGTATACATGCCAGGAGCGGCCGACTCGACCGTATGCCGTTGTTCTCTAATGAACGGGAAAATACGTAGTTTTTGAAGAAAAACTACACGTAGTTAATCAGGTAAATTACGTCTTAATTAACTACTTCCGAACCCTGAGGGTGACAAACATCTATGGCAAGCCCTTGAGTTTTGTCAGATTATTTTTCAATGGTCACAAACAGGGTTCGGAAGTAGTTAATTAAGACGTAATTTACCTGATTAACTACGTGTAGTTTTTCTTCAAAAACTACGTATTTTCCCGTTCATTAGAGAACAACGGCATACGGTCGAGTCGGCCGCTGCTGGCACGTAGACGTAGACGTAAAGAATCTTTTACGTGTATAAAAAATAAAAAATATAAGAAATGCGCATGCGTACGTAAACGTTTACGTGTTTGTAGGCCGACTCGACCGTATGCCGTTGTTCTCTATTAACTACATGAAAACTACGTGAACAAACTATGTATTGATATTATGAACAATTTTTTTTGTATGAGGTGTAATAGAGATAATATGATGTAAATATTATATTTAAAGCCATATTTCTTCTGTTTTCTTAAATACATTATGTGTAAAAACACATAATGTATTTAAGAAAATTAGCACCTTGTATGTAAGTTTCAAATATCAAAGGTTTGAGGTGAGGTTATAATAAGTTGAGACATACATAGGTTACATAAACTACACAATCTACATAAACTACATTAACTACATGTAATGTAGTTTATGTAGTTTCTAAAGTAACATGTAGTTTTCCGATCCCTGGTCACAAACCAAATACGTTTAAAATAAAGTATACGGAGGGTACCGCTTAAATTCCTGTCCCGATATTGAAGGATGGCTATAGAATTTCAATGCATTTCCTACATAAGTCTATCCTTGGTTTGTAGGAGGTTTGACTAAACAAGGATGAACTTATGTCTTGAACATTCGACTCGATTTTCTGTCCTCCTTCAATACTGGGACGTAAATCCTCTCATTGCTCTTATGGGGAGGCCGTCGTATATCACAAACCAAGGATGTGACCAAGGGATGTGAAAAACTCAAAGCCTTTGCTCAAAGCTCATTGATCAAAGATGGATCAAAGGTCTGGGGCAGGGTTCGGAAAACTACATGTTACTTTTAAAAACAACATAAACTACATTACATGTAGTTAATGTAGTTTATGTAGAGGGTGTAGTTTATGTAACCTATGTATGTAACTTTCAAATGTCAAAGGTTTGAGGTGAGGTTATAATAAGTTGAAGCTTTAAAAACACATAATATATTTAAGAAAACGGCTTTAAATATAAAAAGGGTAATGGTGTGGATCCGGTGGCTGACCTTGAAGCCCATATTTGCTGCATTTGATCAGAGATACTACGCAAGCGCACAACGTCGACGTTGTCAAGTCGCAGATTATTTTCGAATTATTTTCAGTAGAAAACATATGTTTTTTGAGTGTTCAAATAAAGTAATAATACAAATTCTATGATTTATTTTATAATTTAAGATTTATCTTGATATCAAAAATTAAAGCAACAACGATAATAGAGACTTTGAAGTTAAGGTATTATGATTGTAATCGGAGTTATAAGTAATATTATCTCATTTATTTATATATTTGCATTAGAAGTAAAATTGTAATATACGGATTTTTTCTTATTGATTAAAAAAAACCTTTTAGAATTATATTTGTATTATCAATATGATGACATTTATTATATCCATGTTGTTTAACTTCTAGTTATTTACAGGCAACAATAGTTTTGATTATATGTATGGAAGTACCTACTACCATCACGAAGACCTAGGATACTTCAAATACCAATTTGATAATTTTAAAGACATAAATTACAATGATAAAACTTAGTAAAGAGGTAACAGGGTACCTATTCTTACCCAATATGCTTTAATCTATGAGTCTTAAGGGGTGAGCAGTATTCCATCCCGTGATTGATATTCCAGGATAAGATTGAAGGACATAGAGGACATGGAATAAGGAGACCGCGCTCATGCCTGAGTAACATGAATCAGGGATTTGTATGATGCGAAAACATTGTTTGCATTGTTGCACTTACTTAAAACAGTTGACCCCACCGTACTATAGCATATTATGGGACATGAAGAATAGCATAATACATATCAATGAGATAGAGGTAACATTTTACCTAGTTTATCTATTATACCTACTATTTTACCTAGATTATAATGTTTGTATCATAATTTATTAAAAATATCAAGTTAGTGAATTAATAGTAGTAGTAGTATTAGTAATTGTAGGCATACTGTTTATCGAAGAATGCTGATAGGATTAAAATAAGCTTTATGTTTTATCTTTTACTCTTTAGAACGTAGATGGTTTATGTCGTAGAATACATAACAGTATTTAATATCCTGCAGTTTGATATTATTTTCTTACTTTACTGTAATTTCTTGTTTCCTGTAATTTCAAAATAAAATCTTAATAATATGGTGAAGGTTTTTTTTGAGCGTATTATTTTTTATAATATTTTTATGATATTTTTATGTCAATACTACATATTATGCTTTGTTTTGTGGAAAATAAATTTTAAGGTATCCTTATCCTTTGCTTATCCTTCTATTAGGAAAAATATAGTTTATACAATGTATATTTTTATATTTTAGATATGCTAAGAACATCACATAAATTCGATTTAAGAATAGAAAAATCTTTAGGTAGCAGAAATATTAATGCATGTCTAAGCAAGATTAAATAAGGTAATTATTAACGTTGCTGATTATAAACATGATATGGAACTACAGCATTTAAAAATTTTCAAAAAAAAAGAAGAAACTTTGACACACCCCTTTTAAATTTTTGAATTTTAATAAAGCACTTTTTAAACGATGCTTAATTCTAGAGTTTTATTTCAGTTTAATTTTATTGACGATGAAAATACCGTAGGATGAGGAAAAAAACGGCGTTTAGTTGCCTGGAAATGACGATTGATAACATTCTCCATATAGTATAATTTTACATACAAATAAAATACATACAAAAAATGGCAGCGATCTTCATTTCATAGCCATCGCTGACGCCGTTTTTATTCGATCATACGGTATATGTAGTATAAGGGTAGTATTAAGACATAAAAAATATCATAAAAATATTATAAAAAATAATATGCTCAAAACTCAACCTTCACCATATTGTCAAGATTTTATTTTGACATTACAGGAAACAAGAAATTACGGTAAAGTAAGAAAATAATATCGAACTGCAGGATATTAAATACTGTTATGACTGTTATGTATTCTACGACATAAACCATCTACGTTCTAAAGAGCAAAAGATAAAACATAAAGCTTATTTTAATCATATCAGCATTCTTCAATAAACAATATGCCTACAATTATTAATACTACTACTACCAGAGACAACTACTACTATTAATTCCCTAACTTGATATTTTTAAGAAATTATGACACAAACATAATCAAACTAGGTAAAATGTTACCTCTATCTCATTGACATGTATTGTGCTATAAGACTATGGTAGTATAGGTACTTCAATACATATAATCAAAGCTATTGTTGCCTGATGTACATAACTAGAAATTTAACAACTTTACGGGTACACCCTAATAGGTTTAAAACCAATAAGAAAAAATCCGTAAATGATAATTTTTAATTCTAATGTAAATATATAAATAAATGGTATTATATATTACCCTTGTATATTACTTACAACTCAGATTCCAATCATAATACCTTAATTTCAAAATGTCCATTATCGTTCTTGCTTTAATTTTTGAAATCATGATAAATCTGAAATGATAAAATTAATCATAGATTTGTATTATTATTTTACATGAACAATGAAAAAAATTTTTGTTTTCTGCTGAAAATAATTCGAAATAACCTGCAATCTGGCAACATCGACGATGTGCGCATGCGTAGTAGCTGTGACTATATGCAGCAAAAATCCCTTTCAAGGTCAGCCACCGGATCCACACCATTACCGGTTATTTGAATAACCGGTTAATTTGTGTCGGTTAATTTTGTTAAGTTATTATTTTTTAAAGATAATTCCGGTTAACCTATAATCGGTTTTTTACCAATAACCGCCCATCTCTAATGTGAACCCAATGTGAACCATATAAACTTTGATATTTAACCATGATTAAACCACAGAAAATATATATCTAATCCAGTTGTCTGTTGTCTCAAGGTTGTCTCTCATCCACAGCTGATCGATATCTGATATGCTGTCAGCTGTCAAAAAGCCCTAGCCTTTAATCAGGGGTGCAACCATTGCCAGATTGCAATTTATTTTGGAATTATTTTCAGTAGAAAACAAATATGTGCTTTTCTGTATTTTTTTGTCAATATATACAGTATGATCGAAAAATCGGCGTCCAGTTGGCTGGGAAGTGACGATTGAGGACATTTCCCATATAAAATGACAGCGATCTTCATTTCATAGTCATCGCTGACGCTATTTTTTTCAATCATAGTACGCGGTATATTATTTATATTATTATTTTAATATTTCGCACAACACATAAAACGTGAACGCTTATTATGTATTTTTATAGTCAATAAAATTAAATAGCAATAAAATTCTAGATTCCTTAATTAATCTAATTGCTCGAGACTCTAGATTATTATGCTATACGTTTAAAAAGTGCTTTATTAAAAATTCGGTAAATATTAAAAGGGATGTGTCAAAGTTTTTTTTTATTTTTAAATGCTGTAGCTCCATGTCATGTTCATAATAGGGTTTTTTTAACATTCCATCAAAACTATGGAGGCCTTAAAAGGCCTTTTAGCCTCCGTAATTAAAATTGTATAATCAGCTTGAGCAACATTTACAGTTAACTTGTTTAATTCTGCTTATACATATATTGCATTAATTTTTCTGCTACCTTAAGATTTCTCTATTCTTACACCTAATTTATGTGATTTTCTTAGCATAATATTAATTATAAACCATATTTTTCCTAATGGAAGGATGGAATAGGATATGCAAAATTAAGATATTTTAACATTTATTTTCCAGACAAAGCATAATATAGTATTAAGATTAAGACATGACAAATATTATAAGAAAGATCTTAATATAAACACAAACTAATTACAAACTAATCTTAATTTGGTCTTGTATAAACACAGGTGTCAACATGGGTGTCAACCAATAAGATCAAAACTCAACCTTCACCATATTGTCAAGATTTGGCATTATAGTAAATTAAAAAAATAAATTAAGAAAAGAATATCAAAGTACACAATATTAAATACTGTAATGTATTCTACGACACAAACCATCTCCCTTCTAAAGAGAAAAAGATAAAACATAAAGCTTATTTTAATCTTATCAACACACTCTTCGATAAAATATATGTCTAAAATTGCTCTTAATCCACTAACTTGATATTTTTAAGAAATTATGATACAAATATTATAATCAAAGTATATTATATTAGTAACATTATAGGTAAGATGTTACCTCTATCTCCCATTGACGTGTAATTTTCCATGTATAAGACTCGTCATGGTAGTATTTCAAAACATCAATACATAATAATCAAAACTATTGTTGCCTGTAAATAACTAAAAATTAAATAACTTGAAAGAAATAAAATAATTCTAATAAGTTTAAAACCATTAAGAAGAAATCCGTACATAATAATTTTTAATTTTAATGTAAATATATAAAATTAATTAATTATAATTATTAATGTAAATATATAAATAAATGTTATTATTATTACAATTTTATATATTCATAATTCTTTCATTTCACAATCTTCATTATCCTTCTTATCTTAATTTTGGATATCAAGATAAATCTGAAATTATAAAATTAATTATATAGAATTTGTATTATTATTAACACTCAAAAAATGTTTCAACTGCAAATAATTCGAAAATAAACTGCAATTTGGCAACATCGAAGATGTGCGCTTGCCTAGTATCGATGATCTAATGCAGCAAATATGGCCTTCAAGGTCAGCCACCGGATCCACACTAGTGGTCGAGAACTATCGATAGTCATACTATCGATATATATCGATATTATTTTTTAAAATATCGATAATTATCGATAGTATTCGATAGTTTTTTTTATTCGTGCATGTACGATACAAATGGGAAAAAATGAACTGAAAATCTGTTAAAACTTTTAATTGCTCATTTATTATCTGTTATATTCAGGTTTTTATGCAGAAATATTAATTTATCAACATTCGTTGACTTGAGTTTTGATCTTCGATCCGTTATGACCTGACCGGCAGAACTGAAGCTTCTTTCACTCTCAACCGAGGTTGCTGGAATGCATAAGAACTTCCTAGCACATTCATCCATTGGTGTCAACTCATTTCCACTTATCTGAAAAAGTATAAGAAAAATTAAATGAAACAATAGCAAATAATGGACAGGTGGAGTTGATGGAGAAATATAAATACATTTCTTTTGTTGTTTCTCCTTTTGTTGCATACCTTCCAAAATAAAAGCGGATCAGCATCTTCAGCAGAGTTTGCCCTCTCTAAATATTGCCTTCTAGTAATAATGACATCAGATGTGACTGATTTTATTTTTCCCGATATTCTACTTTCAAGAAATGCAAAAAGAGAAGGGGAAGTCTGGATGTTTTGGGACACTGAAGGTTCATTTATATTTATGTTCTGACTTTGTGATTTTTGTCGTAAAGCTCCTTGCATTTCTTGTTCTAAAATTACAGCGGCAGATGAAGCATTTTCTGGATTTCTAAAACCTTCTTTCTTAAATCTTGGGTCAATAATTGTTCCTATTTTTGTAACATTTCTACTTTCATAAGGAAATATTCTTTTCTTCACTGATTCTATAAGCCCACTGCAAAATAATTTCCCTTCTTCAGTATCAAGTTCTGTGATAACTGCATTTAAAAAATTATAGATACCAAAGGTCAGAGGGATTATCAAAGAAATAGTAACATAGCTGCCACCTGAAAATAATAATAACATTAAGTATCTATAAATTCTATTTCATTATTGCAATTATTATGAATGAAACAATCAAGGTTTTAAACAACTAACTCACCTGAAATTTTTTTCGTAGCCTCCTCAAAACATTTCAGAACCTTCACAACATCATTTAAAATAGATAGTTCATCTACAGAGAGAGGTTGAGGAGCTTTACGTACTTTCAGCAGTGTTCGACTAATTGCTTCATTGGTTTTAAGAATTCTTTCTATCATGTAGAAGGTACTATTCCATCTGGTTGGTACCTCCTGTATCAGCTTGTACTGTTTGTTTGTTATATCATCATCAATATTTTGCTCCTTTTTAAAAATTTCCATGGCAACATTGCTCGACTTAATAAATGTAACAATGTCCTTACACCTCTTGATATTTGTCTTTAAGTCGTTAAAGTTTTCTTGCACAACAAGGTTGAGACTGTGTGCGTAGCAAGGAAGATGTCTTATTTTCAGTAGTTCACATGTTTTAATCATGTTTGCCGCATTGTCAGTCACTATGCAAACAATTTTATTTTCGATATTCCATTCTCTGAATATGCTCTCTAAAGATTCTGCAATGTTTTCTGAAGTATGGTTCATTCCATTTGCCAAAGGTTTAGTCGAGAGAATTATTGACTTTAATTCAAAAGCTGAATTTATGTAGTGGCATGTCACAGTTAGGTACGACTCAGAAACACTAGAGGTCCATGAGTCGGAGGTTATTGCAACATATTTTATTTCAGTCAAATCATTTTTCAATTTTTGATGTACCTCTTGATAGGTAGTTTCCAATAATTTTCCACTCAAAGTATATGGACTTGGAAGAACATATCTAGGATCTAGTAGGTTTATCAGTCTTCTAAATCCCTTGTCTTTCACAATTGTAAAGGGCTGAAAGTCCAGTGCAATCATTTCTATAATACTTTTATCAAGTTGTTTCTTACGCTGAGAATTTGATTCATATTGCAAAGCTCTTCGGAAAAATGGGCTAACTGACCTGGTACTAGAACGTGCACTAGAAGCAGAAGATGCAGTTTCAGAACTAAATGAGACAGATGCACTGGTATTTTCAACTTCATTATTTATGGATTCACTATTTTGTAAAAACAGATGATGCCTTCTCAAGTGATCCGCAAGATTAGAGGTATTACCACTGGTCTTGTATTCTTGCCCACATTTATTGCATTTTGCAAGCTTCTTATCACCAGACCTTTTAAAATGTGCCCAAACCGATGACACTTTTGCCCTCTTTCTTTTCGCACTGCCACCCACAGATCCAGGTACAGCAGAGGTTTGCTGATCGATATTATCAGGTTGAGAATTTTGAAAGCCTTCTTTTGAACTCCCTGCCTTAGCATTATTATCACCACTGCCATTTCCATTCTCTAAAAACATAAAAAGAAAAAGTTTAAAGGGGACACACATTTTAAAGGGGACAATATAAAGTAGTTTTCAACTTACCTTTACTTTTGCCAAACTTCAAATTCAAAAATGTTTCCATTATTGTATTCTTTTAATTTTAAAACAACAACGAATGCGAAACACTGGAAACACGGTTAAAAATGGGGAAAATCTAAGGGGAAAGTGTTTAAATTAAAATACAAAAAATGAAATTGAGGTTATGTTGTCAGTCTTCTTCTATATTTTATCCGCAGGCATGGAAACAACTATCGATAGTCGATAGAACGAAAAATATCGATTGTTTTCGATAGGTGAAACTATCGATAGCTATCGATACACTATCGATAGTTCTCGACCACTAATCCACACCTTACCAAAATAACCTAACCTAGCAAAACTAAATATTTAGTTTTCGTATAGGTTTACTTACCTCTACACTCCATAGGTCTACTTCAAATTTAGATAATAAACTTAGTTAAATCGCATGATTAAATAGAGATTGTAGCAATGTAAGTATGTATATATACAAAATGAGGTAATGGTGTGGATCCGGTGGCTGACCTTGAAGCCCATATTTGCTGCATTTGATCATCGATACTACGCAAGCGCACGTCGTCGATGTTGCCAAATTGCAGTTTATTTTCGAATTATTTGTAGTTGAAAATTTTTTTTTAAGTGTTAATCAATAATAATACAAATTCTATAATTAATTTTATAATTTCAGATTTAACTTGATATCCAAATTTAAGGTAAGAAGGATAATGAAGATTGTAAAATTAAAGTATTATGAATATATAAAATTGTAATAATAATAACATTTATTTATATATTTACATTAGAATTAAAAATTATCATTTACGGATTTTTTCTTAATTGTTTTAAACTTATTAGAATTATTTTATTTCTTTCAAGTTATTTAATTTCTAGTTATTTACAGGCAACAATAGTTTTGATTATATGTATTGATGTTTTGAAATACTACCATGACGAGTCTTATAGAACAATACACGTCAATGGGAGATAGAGGTAACATTTTACCTATAATGTTACTAATATAATATTTTGAAGTAGTAGGTTTATCGAAAAATTGTCAGAGACCTTTTTTGTAGAGCGTTCAGTTCTGTAGAATAGATGACTTCTGAAGAATATATGATTGTCATAGCTACGAGAGAACAAGATCGAGAGAAAAAAATTATTTGCAAAAAGTGGCAAATTCCCATGTGATTTAAATGGAAAATTAATCGTCTTCGGGGCAAGGTTTATTGTAAATATTAAGGGTTTACAATGGTTGTTTTTTTTAGAAAATAAACTAAAAATTTAGAGGGCGTCGCGAGAGAAATGATCAACTTGGTAAATAACGGACACCTTAATAACCAGTAAGTTAGTCGATTAGAAATGCATTGACAAATTAATCAATTACGCAGCTAATTGTTATCTAAACACTCATTTGCTTTCAAACTTAATTAGATCTCTCACACTTGGAGCCCCAGATAATCCAACTAAGGAAAAATACTGTAACAAATACCTCTCGCAGCTATTAACACAAACCCACTAAATGGCTAAACGTTTCTAACCCTTCCATTTCCAGTCGGAGTCCTCGTTCCCAGGCTGTTGAATTAGAACAAACATCCGTAGAGCGTCGCGTCGCCTGACTGTAAAAGCCGAAGCATAAAAGCCTTTCCTGTGTGTGCCGTCGCCAAGTCTCCGACAACGGCCCGGCTTTGTCTCCGACTGTCAAAATAATCGCCTCATTCTGCCTTCGTAACAGTTGTCGCGTTATTATTCCTGTTTTTGTAAGGATTCTTAAACACGAAATGGCATGCACATCGACCGTGGCGTAATTTCTTGATCTCTCCAAAAAATCCTATATGGGTATTTCCCCACAGCACTGCAAGAAAATCTACAAAATAAAATAGTTATTTTTTGTAGACACTTCTGCGTTAAACCCAAACGGAAACTACTTGTCAGAAGTTATGTTTACAGTTATACAAATTTGCCTAACAAAGAAAAAAATGCTTAACGTTTGGTAAAGTTTATCTCTTTCCGTCGTCGGAAGCAAAAAAAATACAAAGAATAAATAGAAAAACTATTTAAAATATTAAAATTAACTATTCGAAAACACTTTCGTTTTTAAAACAGATACGTCTACAAGAAAACTGTTAACGTTCTGTTAAAATGAAATTATATCAAGTTAAACTTCAAAATTAACGCACACAATTACTACCTGATATCAATTACTTAATAAGGTAAAACCAAAAAGCCCCAAACTTTCTGTATGATTATTTTTAAATTTTACGTATGTTATGTTTATTTACGTTATGTTCTTTAAAATCAAAGAAGCGATTGCCATACATTACTAACATCTACAGATGCATGATCAATACATTTATTTTTATTAGATCATATTAAAAAAGCCTCTTTTATTTTTCTTTTAGAGGCTATCGCTTCTTTCATTATAATTTTGGCGTTATTAAAATTTATTCTGTACCCTGTGTCCCATAAATGCTGACAAATCTTAGATTTGTGAAAATCTCCCTTTCTTAAATAATCTTTATGTTCTTTAATTATGACATTTAAGGGTCTAGATGTAACCAATGTAAAATTTGTCGGATTCACATGGTACTTGGTATATTACATTTTTTGTTTGTTGTTCTGTATTCATTGGTTTAGTTTCGATAAAATGGATCTAAGTGTATTTTGTGTTTTGAAAGATGTTCGTATGTTATATTTTTTTCCTATCCTTCTTATTTTTTCCGAAACGCCTCGTATGTATGGAATTGTAAGTTGTATATATTGTGTATTGTTATCATTGTGCCTATGATTTAGGGTTTGGATTTCGTTTAATGTTTTGTCAATAAAATATGGTGAATAGTCGTTTTTTATTAATGTATTTTTTATGTGGTTTATATCTCTGTTTAGTGAAATGTCGTCTGAACAAATAATTTTTGCCCTATCATATAAACTTTTTATAACACCTTTTTTTACACTTATACTGTGATTAGATGTGTAATTTAGTATCTATCTGTTTGTGGGTTTTCTGTAAACATCTAAAATTAGTTTATTTTGAAACTTTGACACTAAAACATCAAGAAATGGCAAACAATTTCTTGATATTTTGAGGCTGGCTTCGTAAAGTTGCTTAAAAAGCTAGGTTTGTAAAATCGCCTCTGTAAGCGAAATCTACAGAATAAAAAATTATTTTTTGTAAACACCGCTGCGTTGGGACCAGACGGAACTCAGCTTACCATTTTTTACTGTTTTTAATTTTTAATTACTGTTTCTTACATACATACTGCTATGACTCATTGACGAGTATTTGACACGCATCAGAGGATGGTCATGCAAGGCGTTTTCTTTCATGAGCTTTTCCGTGACTGAAAAGCCCGATGCGTGATGTTATCTGCCTACCGCACTCCGGACATTCAAAAATCTTGTCGCTGTTAACTGAGTTTACAATAATTCTTCTCCATTGCGTTCTATTGTGAGCTGCTTCTTCCCACTCATTCTGCATGTTAATTCCCTTTATGTTTTCGTGGAAAATATCCTTGTTCCTTTTGAGTTGTCCACCCAGCCTCCTTTTACCGTCTACAAGCTCACCGTAAAGCAGAAATTTTGGTATGCGGTTTTCTTACGTTCTGCATACGTGACCAGCCTATCTTAAGCGGGATTTTGTAGTCATAACTTCAATACTCTCGCAGTTAGCTTTTTCAAGGACCGATACGTTTGAAACATGATGAAACCATTTGATTCTTAAGAGTTGTCTAAGGTCTGTTGCAACTTGTTTAATGCGATCATGTGTCGGCGGTACAGCACCCAGGTTTCGCTTCCATATAACATGACGGGGATTATGATTGCCTCGGTACACTGCAAGTTTCTTTTTCTTGCTCAAGTCGTGATTGTCACTGTTTCTTAAATAGATACTGAATACCATTAGTTGGTGAAACCAATAAATTTTGTAGATCTGAAGTTTAAAGCGAAGCTATTATTGATCATTCGATTACTTCCACTGACGGAATCGTGAAAAACGTCCAATCATAACGCGTTCCAGATATCGGCTGCTATCGTTTTATCTGTATCCAAACCGATTCAGATAAAAAAAAACTAATAACCGCTCGATATAAATTTGAGCGACATCCGCGATCATAAAACTTCCTCCGGCTTTCCCTCTCCTTCTCTCTTACTTCCCCTTTCTCTTTCTCTTTTTTTTTCTAATCGGAAATATGCTTTAACTTCGCAACGTAAACGAATCAATCTCCAGTTTGCAACATTGAAATAAATGCGACCGAACGGATCGGCCTGGCTGCACAGGTCCTGGTAAACGTAGCGGAATTAAAACTGAAACAGTGTCGTTACGTTGGGAAATGTTGCTTGAGAAATATAAATCTCGTATTCAATTATATTTTATTAGTACCCTATGAGTTATTTGAGCAGAGTTATGATAGTTAGGCAGGTAAATAATTCAAGTTCAAAAAGCGAATAGTTGGGCAAATGATCTGGACATATTGAAGTGAAGTTAGGCTACTAACTAAACCCATCAGTGTTAAAAAAGGTTCAGTTAAAAAGATTACATGATAAAAAAAAAGTAAAGTATTTTTTCCATAGCAACTGTTAAAATTGCCTTATATCTATCAAAAATAGTGGATAAAATAGTACTTTAACGGCAATGGTAGATTAAATAATACTTTAACAGCGAGGATAGGTTAAAAACTTTATTTCTTCTCGCACGTTTTTTAATTGTTTCCATTTTTTTAAATTTTTGTATTCCTTTTCATAAGTTATTCGGGATTTAAATGGAAGTAGTTTGGATATGGCGTTTGTCGCCTCAACCTGAATATCTGTTGGTAATTTACTTATTTCGTTTTAAGCCATTTCTGGCTCCAATTCAATCAGCAAACGACACGAAAGAGAATTAAAAAAATATTGACTCAAAACAGACAACTAAAGAGACAGCTTTATTTTTTTCTCAAATTACATAGAAACCATCGCCAACCCAGCACAATATTTTCTCTGCTCGTAATAAATTCCTTGAAATTATAATTTCTGAATATTTTTTAAAACGTAACTCGCTATGGAAAAACATATTTTATGCACGACGATAAAATTACATTATCTTCTCCCGAAATTAATTCACTCGCACTGAAAAAAAGGATCTCTCAGTCGAAATGAATATGAATTTGACCCAAAAGATGGGCGCTTTTCAATAGGGCCAAGAACGATGTTTCTTTGCCCAAACCATTAACTATCTTTTCATAAGCTTTAAAAAATTACTTTAGAGAATAGAAGAATCTATCTGTCCAAAGTATTTGACTCTTGACCCAAAATTAATATGCAAAGAAGTTCTTGCTACAAGAAC